GATCCGGCGGCGGCGTTAGCTAACTTCTTAAAAGCTTTATATTTTAGAAGGTGGAAGGTCTGGATGCTTCATACTTTGTATATGGATGCCTCATGTTACGAAGTTTCCGTCAGTCACATGTCCAATGTCCTTGACCTCATTTTCATGGTTCAGTGACTACTTGAAAAAAAAGTTAAGATTTTTTGTAATGTTGAATTCTCTCTTATTATAAGTAATAGGATAACTATATTTGGTATGTGCATACCTTGCAAGGTCCTCATGCCCGTCAGACAGTTTTCACTTGACCTCGACCTCATTTCATGGATCAGTGAACAAGGTTAAGTTTTGGTGGTCAAGTCCATATCTCAGATACTATAAGCAATAGGTCTAGTATATTCGGTGTATGGAAGGACTGTAAGGTGTACATGTCCAACTGGCAGGTGTCATCTGATCTTGACCTCATTTTCATGGTTAAGTGGTTATAGTTAAGTTTTTGTGTTTTGGTCTGTTTTTCTTATACTGTATGCAATAGGTCTACTATATTTGGTGTATGGAATGATTGTAAGATGTACATGTCTAGCTGGCAGGTGTCATCTGACCTTGACCTCATTTACACGGTTCAGTGGTCAAAGTTAAGTTTTTGAGTTTTGTCTTTTTTTCTAATACTATATGCAATAGTTCAACTATATTTGGTGTATGGAAATATTTTATGATCTATATGTCAGTCACGCAGGTTTTTTTTTACCTTGACCTCATTTTCAAGGTTCATTGCTCAGTTTTAAGTTTTTGTGTTTTGGTCTGTTTTTCTTAAACTATAAGCAATAGGTCAACTATATTTGTTGTATGGAAGAATTGTTAGCTGTACATGCCTGCCTAGCATGGTTCATCTGACCTTGACCTCATTTTCTTGGTTCATTGGTCAATGTTTAGTTTACTTGGTTAATGTTAAGTTTATGTGACAGTTGTAATAAAGCTTTATATTTAGGACTATCAACATAATATCAATGATTAGTAAAGAAGGCGAGACATTTCAGCGTGTGCACTCTTGTTTCATTCATAAATTACTTTATACTTGGAAATATAATTTTGCTTGGAGTTATAGTTTCTAAAAAAAGTATTGTCATTGAAAGAGTTGACATGTTGCAATGTACATTTATTCTACATAGTTCTATGGTACCAAATCAAAAGTTTATATTAAAGAAAGAAGTCAAAGGTTTCCCATCATAGTTTAGTTACATACATTTTTTTTGTACCTGAGGTCGTTGAATATAGATCATTATATAAATAAGGAGATGTGTTATGATTGCCAATGAAACAACTATCATCCATACATTGTACTTACCAGTAACAAACCACATTTGCAAAGTTGAATAAAATACAGTTGATAACATTTACTTATTACTTAAAAAAAAATGCCAAACTATTTTAAACAGTATTTGACTATAAACATAGATAAAAAAGGTACAAACTGGACATAATGCACTAGTTCATAAACAAGTGAGAACAATCGCCTTCATATAGTGCTCAGAATATGACATTCATAAAACTTGTTCAATATCATTAGAGAACTCTAAATCTTAAATACTGAAAGCCACCTCTGATAAGTACAATGTACTATGCAAGATAATGATATAACTGGACTAAAAATACACACAACCTGTAATTAACTGCCTTTACAGCGCTTTCGCGCTTTGATTATAGTTCAGGGACTGCTTGAAAAAAATTCTACAGTGCTCGCCTAAGATGGGATGTATTATGGTAACAGTATACCAATGTCCGTCCCTCTGTCCATCTGTCAACCATTTGTATGATAACTCATATTCGCTTTAACCAGTTATCAAATAAACTTTCACACAACATTAAAATTGACAGAGGAAAGCTCCCCTTCAATTTTTAAAAAAAATTTTGGCTCTGTCATTCAAGAGTTACAGAACTTTGACCCTTATTTAAGACATTTTTTTACACATCTCGCACTAATCCAAGTATTCCAGGATTTATTTCCTCCAAACTTTACGTTATTGTGGGGATTAATAAAAAGAAGCTCACTTTTTTTAATGCCCCTGCCGTAGCTGAGGGGGCATTAAGTTTTACCCTTGTACGTACGTTTGTCCGTACGTACGGACGTCTGTCCGCACGTCCCAAAATTGGTTTCCGTTCTTTAACTTTAGTTTGCTTCAACCAAATGTTATGAAACTTATACACTATGCTTATTACCACAAAACACAGGTCAAGTTTAAATTTTGGTGGCGTCACTTTTACCGCTCTAGAGTTATGCCCCTTTACAAATGGAAGAATTGCTGAATTTTTCGTTTCCGTTCTCTAATTTTAGTTTTTTCTCAACCAAATGTTATGAAGCTTATACACAATGCTTAATACAACAAAACACAGATCAAGTTCGAATTTTGGTGGTGTCACTTTTACTGTTTTAGAGTTATGCCCCTTTACAAATGGAAAAATTGCGGAATTTTTTGTTTCCGTTCTCTTACTTAAGTTTGCCTCAACTAAATGTTATGAAACGTATACACAATGCTTATTACCACAAAACTCAGATCAAGTACAACTTTGGGAAGCGTCTCTTTTACAGTTCTTGAGTTTTGTTCCTTTATAACGTTATATGCAAGCAGGGGCACAATCTGTGTCCCATGGACACATTCCCCATTTATTTTAAATTTTCCAGTTTGTCGCTCAAGAGTTATAGGACTTTTATTGTCAGATTTTAGTAAAGGAATAAGTTCTGAAAGGGCCATAATTGGCCCCCTATTATGAAGTTCAATGTTTCAAGATAAAACATGTTTTAAGTTGATGAAAAGACATGTGAGTAAGTTAAATAGAACTATTTTTGTCCAAGTTTTATTTTTAAAGTGTTGATTTTTACATCCCACATAGGCCAAAAACAGAGATTTTTGCGAAAATTGACAAAATTGTGTGGAATTTGACCAGATTAAAGTCTTGGAAGCTTAGAGCAGGTGTTGACAAACTAAATATTCAAGTCGGATATGTAAAATGTTCTAACAAACATTATGTGAAAAGATCTTTTTTTGTCAACACATGTGTTCTATGTTTTCTGTCCAAAAAATCAATAGAAATTCACCTGTTGTTATTGATTTTTTTTGTTTTGTCCTCTATCTTGAAAATTAGAATAGATTTATAGAAACTTTGAATAGCAAAAGTGATCAGCAAGACAAGATCCACAAATACGTCAAAATGTTCAAAATGGTCATTTGACTTCTGGGAGTTATGACCCTTAAATGACAATTTTACCAATTTTATGTCTTTTTGCCTATTATACATAAAACTACAATAGACAGATAGAAACATTAAATATGATCAGCAAGACAGATCTACAAATAAGTTGATAAATGCTGAAATGGTTGTTGACTCTTTTTAGCAGGTATTGCCCTTAAGTGACTATTTCTACTTTATTTTTTTTAAATTTTTGCCTATCTTGAAAACTATAATAGATAGAAATCTAAATATTGGGTAGCTAAATTGATCAGCAAGACAGGATCTACAAATAAGTCAGCATGGCCCAAATTATCAGTCATTTCCTTATAAGATAGTTTAAATTTGCCCTTAAATGATATTTTTTTGTCATATTTTTGCCTATTATATTGAAAACTAGAAAATAAAAGACAGATAGAAACTTTAAAAAGCAAAAATGATAATCAGGACATAATTTTCATATTTGTCAACAGGACTAAACTGTCAGTTAACCATTTATGGAGTAATTGCCCTTAAATGAGGATTTTTACCAAAATGTTGCTATTGTTGAAGATGCAGGTTAGGAACACAGGCTCTTTGGAGTGTCTTGTTTTGCTTCATTGATAATGTTATGTTTATTTTTTACTTGTAAAACCTGTACATGTATATTACAGACTTTCAACATCAGTTTAGTCATGATAAGTAAAGCAGGTGAGACAGTTCAGCGTGTGCACTCTTGTTGCAAATAAAAACAGTATATTGTATGAGGCTTTGTCTGCTGGAACAACAACATATTTGTCTAGTAGGAAAGATAAAGAGTCTACAACCTCTGCCTTCTGGAAAGGGTCACAAACCCATGAGCTCATTAATTAATGTACATCGTAGATATTGAATGAGCTTCTGAATGCATGCACAAACAGCTATGATCCATTCAGATAAAGTTTCCAGTTTTGATTCATCTGGCTCATGTATGAACATGTTAATTCTGCAAGAAGTTGCTCCGTCGGAGTAGTTAAAAAAATAGTGAGGAGTCATTACCTAGACAGGAGAGAAGCAGATACAGGGTTAACTTAGACCTGTTATGTTATCCCCGTTATGTAATTGTCCACCGCATAACACGTTGCGGGGGACATGGAAATACGGTGCATCTGTCCGTGTGTCCTTCCGTCCAGTCTTGTTAGCACTCTCACAGGTACATCTCTTGCAAGATATTTATAAAACTTATACTAAAGGTTAATATCAGCAATATCTCGGACTTTTTTTAAAAGAGTTATGCCCCTTGGAAATATTAAATTTATTGAAAATGGCCTGGTTATCTCTCTCACGGGTACAATTTTTTATAAAACTTATAGTATACTATAAGTAATGCCCTTGAAGGTCTGTTTTAAATATTTAGTATACAAAAAAAAAACCTTTTTTGTCCCCCGCACACGCTTTTTATTTATAATTTTTTTTGAAGAACAACAAAAAAATTTTTTTTTTTAGTTATTGCCCCTGGCGGGCCTGGATAGATAAAATATGTGCAACACAAGGGACATTGGAACTCTGTTCTTTTATCATATTTGATTTAACCATATCAGTATAATCTAGTCCTGACCCATGTAAACTCATTCAACAAATATGTAAACAATAAATGTTGCCATAAAAGAAGAACCCCATATTAGATATTATGTTTGAATGTGTAATAACATTTTTAATGACATACCTCCACCTTTGGGATTTAAAAGGTGAGGAAATTTTTTTATACCTCTAAGATGAGGTATATCGATTTTTATGTGCATCTATTTGATAAATTTGCATCTTTTTCAATTTCTTTTTAGGTAGGATTAACCTGGTGGAATTACAGCAGCTGTTAAATGTTGATTTTAGTCATATAGAAACAAAAGCATCAGAGATAATAAAACATGAAAAGAACAGAAGTTTAGTGCTTGGACAGTTAATTGATATGTACGTATATGTATATGACTCCATTACATTAGTTGACTCCATTACATTAGTTGACTCCATTACATTAGTCAAACTGAATGTAATGTTTGTCTTGCATGTGGCAAATGTTGCAGCACGTGCGACATAGGGATGCTAATCTGTAAGCAACAGCAATAGCTCAGTGTATAAAGCTTCAGAAGTTAGAAGAACTAGATAATCTTTATGGTTTAAGGTTCCCGTCTGGCATATGTCCATTGTCTTTGGTATACATTGAACCATTGTAAGGTGTATGGTGTACATGTCTGTATGACAGAATTTATCTGACATTGACCTCGGTCTTGTCAGTCAATTTTATTTTATTTATGGATGCTTATAATCAAGTACTTTATATTAGATTGCAGCCTTGGTTTAAATGTAGTCATTGATAATGAGAGGAAGATCCATGTGATTGTTATGTAAGCAAACAGGATCATGGGTCAATCAGGACACCTGGAGACTGACAAATGTATGCATGTCAATGTGTCAATTAATCGAAACATTTGAAGATTAATTAAAGTTTTATTAAACCGGTGATATAGATTTCACATGAGAGGACAGCCAGGTCATGCTTCAGATCTTGAGGATCTAGTTGTATCATGAAAGTATTATATTGACAGGAATAACATCTACGCAGTTTCATCTGCGTTTACACTTATCTTCTGATAACTCGTTAATTGGTTGAAGATATGGAATAGTAATTGACTCTCAGCATGTGATCGATCAGATCACTGATCCATTTCTGAAAGTTAAGAAGATAATTGTACAAAAATGTTTTGACATATCGGATGCATTTATAATCAGCTATCCCACCCACCATCCCCAGCTACACCTGGGTATTTACTGAGTAATTGCTTTTAACCTACATTTTTTCTTCTTTTTTCTGTTTTAAGGTAATATATATTTTAAGCATTAGAATGTTACAAGTCCAAATTAAGGATTTTTCTTCAACTATATTCTTAGTTACATCTAGGTCCATAATATTGACTGCAGATTGTAAAGTTTCTTGGTAAATGCCTTTTAACTTTCATACATGTTTTTTTTAAATTTTTTTTTATTCAAGCTTGATAACTTGTTCTTCATGTGATGCACATGAGCTTTCTTTAAAAAGAGTATCATTATTTCTTAAATTTGATGTACTAAGTAATAGTAAATCGGAAGTATTAACTTATATTACATTGTTATATTTCCTTTTATATTTCTAGTCAGTTAGTCTATAATTTGATGCATATAAATATAAATTTGCATTATCTCTTGTGTTAGGGGCTACTCATATGACAATTGAAATAGGTTATTTCCTGCCGGGATCTCCCCAGGAACAATTATGTATTTTAATATATTATGTTTTGCTGGAATCTGGTCTTATAATTTGAGGGGAACCATACTCCCAAAATAATGGCCTTTATAATTTGAGGGGAATCATACTCCCCCATTTTATAATACATCAGATAGGTTAATTCCTGACAGGATCTCCCCAGGAACAATTATGTATTTTAATGTATTATTTTTACTTCGCTGGGATCTCCCTGGAGTCTCCCCAGGTAGTTTATTCTCTTTATTCTCTAGCTTTACACCTGCCGGGATCTCCCCAGGTGAACATTTCATACAGTATAAAGTAAGCTGCAGGGATCTCCCCAGCATTGTAAGGTAATTTATTTACAACTTTTTTGTACAAGTAATCACAGAGTTTTTATACGACCGCAAAAAAATATTGGTATGACGTTGGCGTCGGCGTCTATGTCCGAAGACACATTGGTTTTCGCACTCTAACTTTAGTTTAAGTGAATGGATCTCTATGAAATTTTACCATAAGGTCCAATACCACAAAAGGAAGGTGGGGATTGATTTTGGGGGTTATGGTATCAACAGTTAAGGAATTAAGGGCCAAAAAGGGTCCAAAAATAAGCATTTTTGTAACTTCCAGACATAACTTGTGTGTTAGTGTATGGATCTCTCTGACATTGTACCACAAGGTTCCATATCCCAAAGGGAATGCTGGGATTGATTTTGGGGGTAATTGCCTCCAAATTTTAGGAATTAGGGGCCAAATAGGGGCAAAAAACAAGCATTTTTCTAGATTCATGACAATAACTTGTGTGTAAGTGTATGGATCTCTCTGACATTGTACCACAAGGTTCCATATCACAAAGGGAATGCTGGGATTGATTGTTGGGGTAATTGCCTCCAAAGTTTAGGAATAAGGGGCCAAAAACAAGCATATTTCTAGTTTCATGACAATAACTTGTGTGTAAGTGTATGGATCTCTCTGACATTGTACCACAAGGTTCCATATCACAAAGGGAATGCTGGGATTGATTGTTGGGGTAATTGCCTCCAAAGTTTAGGAATAAGGGGCCAAAAACAAGCATTTTTCTTGTTTCATGACAATAACTTGTGTGTAAGTGTATGGATCTTTATGAAATTGTACTACAAGGTTCCATATCACGAAGGGAAAGCTGGAATTGAGTTTGGGGGTAATTGCCTAAAACATTTAGGAATAAGGGGCCAAAAAGGGGCAAAAAATAAGCATTTTTCTAGTTTCCAGACAATAACTTGTGTTCAAGTGTTTGGATCTTTCTGAAATTGTACTGCAAGGTACCATACCAAAAAGGGAAGGCTGGGATTGATTTTGGGGGTAATTCCCTCAAAATTTAAGGAATTAGGGGCCATAAAGGGGCAAAAAAACAAGCATTTTTATACGACTGCAAAAAAATTTTGTGTCGTCGTCTTCCGAAGACACATTGGTTTTCGCACTCTAACTTTAGTTTAAGTGAATGGATCTCTATGAAATTTTACCATAAGGTTCAATACCACAAAAGGAAGGTTGGGATTGATTTTGGGGGTTATGGTACCAACAGTTAAGGAATAAGGGGCCAAAAAGGGGCCAAAAATAAGCATTTTTGTAACTTCCAGACATAACTTGTGTGTGAGTGTATGGATCTCTCTGACATTGTACCACAAGGTTCCATATCCCAAAGGGAATGCTGGGATTGATTTTGGGGGTAATTGCCTTCAAATTTTAGGAATGAGGGGCCAAAAAAGGGGCAAAAAACAATCATTTTACTAGTTTCATGACAATAACTTGTGTGTAAGTGTATGGATCTTTATGAAATTGTACTACAAGGGTCCATATCACAAAGGGAAAGCTGGAATTTAGTTTGGGTGTAATTGCCCAAAACGTTTAGGAATAAGGAGCCAAAAAAGGTGCCAAAAATAAGCATTTTTCTAGTTTCCAGACAATAATTTTTGTTCAAGTTTATGGATGTCTCTGAAATTGTACTGCAAGGTACCATACCACAAAGAGAAGGCTGGGATTGATTTTGGGGGTAATTGCCTCAAAATTTTAGGAATTAGGGGCCAAAAAGGGGCAAAAAAAAAGCTATTTTCTAGTTTCAGGACAATAACTTGTCTGTAAGTGTATGGATCTTTATGAAATTGTACTACAAGGTTCCATATCACAAAGGGAAAGCTGGGTTTGAGTTTGGGGGTAATAGCCCTAAACATTTAGGAATTTGGGGCCAAAAAGGGTCCAAAAAACAAGCATTTTTCTAGTTCCAGACAATAACTTGTGTTCTAGTGTATGGATCTCTCTGAAATTGTTCAGCAAGGTACCATAGCACAAAGGGAAGGCTGGGATTGAGTTTGGGGGTGATGAATCATAAGGGGGTTCAAAAAATTGGGGGGGGGGATTTTTTTTCCTTTTTTTTCTTTAAAATTTTCCATTTTGAATTGGTTATTTCTGATTTACATATAAAAATAAATAATAATGATATGGTTTGAATAGGTAAATTAAAAATGTTTAAGTTCTTAGACCACATTCATTCTGTGTCAGAAACCTATGCTGTGTCAAATATTTAATCACAATCCAAATTCAGTGCTGTATCAAGCTTGAATGTTGTGTCCATACTTGCCCCAACTGTTCAGGGTTCGACCTCTGCGGTCGTATCAAGCTGCGCCCAGCTGAGCATTTTATTACTAATTGTTAAAGGAATTTTCATTTTACTCGTTTTTTGATAGTTTTAAAAATTTATAAAGTTAAATTTTCTTTTAAGTGAATGAGTAGCCCAAGAAAGCCAATAATGTATTATATTTTTAGTCATCCATTGTAGAAAGATATGTGTTGTTATGTTACATTTTATTTTGGATTTAATGCTTAGATTTAGTATGTTTAATAATAAAAGTATTTCTTAGACATGTTAGATATGTGTTGTGTATAAACAGGGGATTCGTTTATTTTCTTGAGTACCAATTCTTTGTGGATTGAGGGAATTTGTATTTTCATAGATATTTGGTTTCGTAGTTTTGCAAATGTCTACATACAAACTGATAGAAAATGTATATGTTGTTGAACATTTAAATTCATGGTTTACCTTTACCCACAAGATCCATGAAAATTGATATCGCAGGATATATATAATGATACCACAGTATATCCCACGATATGATGATACCACAGTATATCCCACGATATAATGATACCACAGTATATCCCACGATATAATGATACCACAGTATATCCCACGATATAATGATACCACAGTTTATCATATACTTGTAGAAAATAATGGTATAATTGTACCCCTTGATAAAACTAATTCATATATATATTTATTCAATAAATTTGAAGAATTGTCTTAGCCGTGTGATATGACTTTTGTTATCAACTGCTTCCGGTATATATCAACTGTTTCCAGTTTATATCAACTGCTTCTTGTTATTATCGCATGCCTTTCTTTAACATAATCGCAAAGCATTTCGACGTCATTCTGCAAATTCCGGAAAGTAAACCTCAGTGGTACATTTAAGTGAAAAACATAGCTAAGTAGAATAACAGAAGGAATATTAGGAAACAGGAAAATATATTATTAAAAAACGCAAAACAAATAATACAATAAATGAATTTTATAAAGTTTTAAAAAAGTTTTCATGACTGTATGGCTTCTGCTGAAGTATATGATAAAAAGAACATAACATGTCATTTTTCATATCAGACCCCTTATAAGCCCATGGTCAAAATCATCCCTCGAGTCTGTCAGCTTTTAAGGCTGATATCATGACCTAGGGCTGATAAGGGGTCTGATATGAAAAATGCCATGTTATAATCTATATATATCAAGTATTTTGAGAGAAAAGCTATATTTTAAGAAAATTTAAAAATTTATAAAAATTGACTCATTACAGCATTTTGGTAGGCTCAAATTCCCATTCCCTTTCTGCACATAGGAGCCATTGAAAAATTGTTTTTTTTTTAGATCCTACCTTGACAAAATAGCTGAAGAAATTAATGACAGACTTCAAGACCAAGGCCATGTGACCATACCAGAACTTACCAAGTTGTATGATCTTCCTGCTGACTTTTTGTCTGAGGTATGTCAAGCATTTCTAGCTTAAACATTTTTGATTTAAGGTCTCCAAAACTGTAAATTTGATTTTGTAAGGGTTGCATGGTCAGTTAGCTATAAACTTGTTCATGGAAGATTGAAACTATTATTCCACTTCTTTCCTATGTCATCACCTCACAAACCAGGATGTAGCAATATTAGCCATTCAACATAAATATATGTATAATGTACCCAATACTTATCATGTCTACGTAAATATGCACAAATGAAAAGATGTTGACTTCTATGTTATTTTGGTCTCTGGTCTCATTAACAATCATACCACATCTTCTTATTATATGCCCGTCAAAAATGGTATACAAACGTCGTCTGTCCGTCTGTCTGTACGGTGTAAACATGTCGCACCGTAACTTGAGAACGACTTATCCAAATTTCATGAAACTTAATATAGTTGTTTCTTTTGATGGTCAAACGATCTGCATACTTTTTGGTGAAAATAAGATTAAAACTTTTTGAGTTACGGGACTTAGTAACTAAATCAGGTGTGTGTTTTTTTTCAAATGTCGCGACGTATCTCAAAAAACAATTTATGATTATTGCTTAAAACTTTACACACTTCTTAGTTATATTAATCTTAAGATTTGTATACTTTTTGGTGATGATTCAAAATTTTATTTTTGAGTTATTGAGTATTTTGTAAAAAAAGGGGGAGGGGTTTTTCACATGTCGTGCCGTATCTCAAAAACAATTTATGTTTATTGCTTAAAATTTTACACACTTCTTAGTTATATTAATCTAAATTTCTGTATACTTTTTGGTTTTCATTCAAAATTTTATTTTAGAGATATTGATTTTTTTTTTAAAAAGGGTGGTTTTCACATGTCGCGCCGTATCTCAAAAACGATTTATGATTATTGCTTAAAATTTTACACACTTCTTAGTTTTATTAATCTTAAGATCTGTATACTTTTTGGTTTTGATTCAAAATTTCATTTTTAGAGATATTTTTAGTTTTTTGTAAAAAAAAAAGGGGGGTTTTCGCATGTCGCGTCGTATGTCGGAAACTATTTATGATTATTGCTTAAAATTTCACACACAAGACGACGGGCGTATCATGCGCTCATGGCGCAGCTGTTTATTTTTAGCTCACCTGGCCCAAAGGGGCAAGTGAGCTTTTCTCATCACTTGGCATCCGTCGTCCGTCGTCGTCGTTAACTTTTTATACGACCGCAAAAATTGAAAATTTTTTGGTCGTATATTGGTATGACGTTGGCGTCGTCGTCGTCGTCGTCGTCCGGCGTCGTCTGGCGTCGTCCGAAGACACATTGGTTTTCGCACTCTAACTTTAGTTTAAGTGAATGGATCTCCATGAAATTTTACCATAAGGTTCAATACCACGAAAGGAAGGTGGGGATTGATTTTGGGGGTTGTGGTACCAACAGCTAAGGAATTAGGGGCCAAAAAGGGGCCAAATATAAGCATTTTTGTAACTTCCAGACAATAACTTGTGTGTAAGTGTATGGATCTCTCTGACATTGTACCACAAGGTTCCATATCACAAAGGGAAGGCTGTAATTGATTTTGGGGGTAATTGCCTCAAAATTTTAGGAATTAGGGGCCAAAAAAGGGGCAAAAAACAAGCATTTTTCTAGTTTCATGACAATAACTTGTGTGTAAGTGTTTGGATATTTCTGAAATTGTACTACAAGGTTCCATATCACAAAGGGAAAGCTGGAATTGAGTTTGGGGGTAATTGTCCGAAACGTTTAGGAATTGGGGGCCAAAAAGGGGCCAAAAATAAGCATTTTTCTAGTTTCCAGACAATAACTTGTGTTCAAGTGTATGGATCTCTCTGAAATTGTACTGCAAGGTACCATACCACAAAGGGAAGGCTGGGATTGAGTTTGGGGGTGATGAATCATAAGGGGGTTCAAAAAATTTGGGGGGGGGGATTTTTTTTTTTCTTTTTTTTTCTTTTTTTCCTTTTTTTTTCCTTTTAAAATTTTCCATTTTAAGTTGGTTATTTCTGATTAATATTTAAAAGCAAATAATAATGATATGGTAGGAGATACACACCAAACAGGATGTGTAAATTATTATATAATAAGTATTGTGCAATAGCAAGAAATTTTCAATTGCACAGTATTGCACAATTGCAAGAAATCTTCAATTGCACAGTATTGCGCAATAGCAAGAAATCTTCAATTGCACAGTATTGCGCAATAGCAAGAAATATCCAATAGCACAATATTGCGCAATAGCAAGAAATTGTCAATTGTACAGTATTGCACAATAGCAAGAAATATTCAATTGCACAGTATTGTGCAAAAGAAGATACTTCGTATAAATTGCTTATTTCTTGATCAATTTCAATGGGGTTTTATTCTTGAATTCTTGGGGTTCTTTAATATGCTGAATCTAACCGTGTATTAAGGTTTTGGATTTTGGGCCCCGTTTTTAAATTGGTCCACATTGAGGTCCAAAGGGTCCAAAATTAAACTTTGTTTGATTTCATCAAAAATTGAATTATTGGGGTTCTTTGATATGCCGAATCTAACCGTGTATTTAGATTCTTAATTTTTGGTTCCGTTTTCAAATTGGTCTACATTAAGGTCAAAAGGGTCCAAAATTAAACTTAGTTTGATTTTAACAAAAATTGAATTTTTAGGGTACTTTGATATGCTGAATCTAAACATGTATTTAGATTTTTGATTATGGGCCCAGTTTTCAAGTTGGTCCAAATCGGGGTCCAAAATTAAACTTTGTTTGATTTCAACAAAAATTGAATATATGGGGTTCTTTGATATGCTGAATCTAACCATGTATTTAGATTTTTGATTTTTGGGCCCCGTTATCAACTTTGTCCACATTGAGGTCAAAAGGGTCCAAAATTAAACTTTGTTTGATTTCATCAAAAATTGAATTCTTGGGGTTCTTTGATATGCTGAATCTAACCATGTATTTAGATTTTTTATTTGTGGACCCGCTATCAAATTGGTTCATATTGAGGTCAAAAGGGTCCAAAATTAAACTTTGTTTGATTTCATCAAAAATTGAATTATTGGGGTTCTTTGATATGCCAAATCTTACCGTGTTTTTAGATTTTTAATTTTGGGTCCCGTTTTTTAAATTGGTCTACATTAAGGTCCAAAGGGTCCAAAATTAAACTTAGTTTGATTTTAATAAAAATTGAATTTTTGGGTTCTTTGATATGCTGAATCTAAACATGTGTTTAGATTTTTGATTGTGGGACCAGTTTTCAAGTTGGTCCAAGTTGGGGTCCAAAATTAAACTTTGTTTGATTTCAACAAAAATTGAATATATGGGGTTCTTTGATATGCTGAATCTAAACATGTATTTAGATTTTAGATTTTTGGCCCAGTTTTCAAGTTGGTCCAAATTGGGGTCCAAAATTAAACTTTGTTTGATTTCAACAAAAATTGAATATATGGGGTTCTTTGATATGCTGAATCTTACCATGTATTTAGATTTTTTATTTTGTGGGCCTGCTATCAAATTGGTTCATATTGAGGTCAAAAGGGTCCAAAATTAAACTTTGTTTGATTTCATCAAAAATTGAATTATTGGGGTTCTTTGATATGCCAAATCTAACCGTGTTTTTAGATTTTTAATTTTGGGTCCCGTTTTTTAAATTGGTCTACATTAAGGTCCAAAGGGTCCAAAATTAAACTTAGTTTGATTTTAACAAAAATTGAATTCTTGGGGTACTTTGATATGCTGAATCTAAACATGTGTTTAGATTTTTGATTATGGGACCAGTTTTCAAGTTTGTCCAAGTTGGGGTCCAAAATTAAACTTTGTTTGATTTCAACAAAAATTGAATATATGGGGTTCTTTGATATGCTGAATCTAACCATGTATTTTGATTTTGGACATTGGACCATAATAGGTAAATTAAAAAAATTGAAGTTCTTAGACCACATTCTTTCTGTGTCAGAAACCTATGCTGTGTCAAATATTTAATCACAATCCAAATTCAGAGCTGTATCAAGCTTGAATGTTGTGTCCATACTTGACCCAACTGTTCAGGGTTCGACCTCTGCGGTCGTATCAAGCTGCGCCCAGCGAAGCATTTTATTACATTTTGAACTTCTTCTAGAGAACCACTGAATGGAATGAAACCAAACATGGCATGAATGTTCCTTATGAGGTGCTGACCAAGTGTTGTTACTTTGTAGCCGATCCATCATCCAAGATGGCCGCCAGCTGGGGACTTAGTTTAACATAGGTCCCTATGGGAAATACATACAAATGTCTTCTTTTAGAGAACCAGTGAGTGGAATGAAACCAAACATGACATGAATGTTCCTTGTGAGGTGCTGACCAAGTGTTGTTACTTTGAAGTCGGTCCATCATCCAAGATGGCTGTCAGCGGGGGACTTAGTTTAACATAGGACCCTACAGGAAATACATACAAATGTCTTCTTTATGAGAACCACTGAATGGAATGAAACAAAACATGGCATGAATGTTCGTTATGAAGTGCTGACCAAGTGTTGGTACTGTGCAGTCTGTCCATCATCGAAGATGGCCGACAGCCGGGGACTTAGTTTAACATAGGACCCTATGGGAAATACATACAAATGTCTTCTTTCAGAGAACCACTGAATGGAATGAAACAAAACATGGCATGAATGTTCCTTATGAGGTGCTGACCAAGTGTTGTTACTTTGCAGTAGGTCCATCATCCAAGATGGCCGACAGAGGGGGACTTAGTTTAACATAGGACCCTATGGGAAATACAAACAAATGTCTTCTTTTAGAGAACCAGTGAATGGAATGAAACAAAACATGGCATGAATGTTCCTTATGAGGTGCTGACCAAGTGTTGTTACTTTGCAGTCTGTCCATCATCCAAGATGGCCGCCAGCCGGTGACTTAGTTTAAGATAGGACCCTATGGGAAATACATACAAATGTCTTCTTTTAGAGAACCAGTGAATGGAATGAAACCAAACATGGCATGAATGTTCCTTATGAGGTGTTGAGCAAATGTTGTTACTTTGCAGTCGGTCCATCATCCAAGATGGCCAACAGCGCAAATGTCTTCTTTTAGAGAACCACTGAATGAAATGGAACCAAACATGGCATGAATGTTCCTTATGAGGTGTTGATCAAGTGTTGTTACTTTGTAGTCAATCCATCATCCAAGATGGCCGCCAGCGGGGGACTTAGTTTCACATAGGACCCTATGGGAAATACATACAAATGTCTTCTTTTAGAGAACCACTGAATGGAATGAAACCAAACATGGCATGAATGTTCCTTATGAGGTGTTGACCAAGTGTTGTTTCTTTTCAGCCGATCCATCATCCAAGATGGCAGCTAGCGGGGGACTTAGTTTAACATAGGACCTTTTGGGAAATACATACAAATGTCTTCTTTTTGAGAACCACTGAATTGAATGAAACCAAACATGGCATGAATGTTCCTTATGAGGTGCTGACCAAGTGTTGTTACTTTGCAGTCAGTCCATCATCCAAGATGGCGGCCAGGGGGGACTTAGTTTAACATAGGACCCTATGGGAAATACATACAAATGTCTTCTTTTAGAGTTAACCACTGAATGGAATGAAACCAAACTTGGCATGAATGTTCCTTATGAGGTGCTGACCAAGTGTTGCTACTTTGTTGCCGATTTATTGTTCAAGATGGCCACCAGGATATTTTATTAAATAACGGGACCAATATTAAACCAAATTTTGCCTCAATCGTTATTTGGGTATCCGTTATGATTTTTATCTATCTTTACATGATTTCTAAAACCAAAGTAGAGTCAGGTGAGAGCCTCTAGCTATATTGTCTAGCCTGCAACGAAATTCTCAGAACATGAGACATAGGGATTACAATCAGAGCAGAGGTGAAATAATTTGTATAAAGCTTTATATTTCAGAGAGTAAAATACCTGGATGCTTCATACTTTCCATATAGATGCCTCATGTTATGTAGTTTCTGTCTGTCACATGTCCATTGTCCGTGACCTCATTTTCATGGTTCAGTGACTGCTTGAACAAACATTTCTAGTTTATTTTGTCATGTGAATTTCTCACTTATTATGAGTAATCTGATAAATTCATTTGGTATGGGGGTTCCCTGCAAAGTCTACATGTCAATCAAACAGGGATAACCTGACCTCGACCTCATTTCATGGATCAGTGATCAAGGTTAAAGTTACATGATAAGGTCCGTTTCTCAGATACTATAAGCAAAAAGTCAACTATATGTGGTGTTTGGAATGATGGTAAGGTCAGTCTGGCAGGTTTCATCTGACCTTCACCTTATTTATATGGTTTATTGATCAACGTTAAGTTTTTGTGTTTTGGTCTGTTTTTCAAATACTTTATGCAAAATATGGAATGAATGCATGATGGAACATTTTTGTTTTTCGTGAATTGTTTTTTTATAAATTAGGCTGTTAGTTTTCTCAATTGAATTGTTCATATTTTTCATGTCGAGCCTTTTATAGCCGACTAAATGGTATGGTTTTTATACGACCGCAAAAAAATTTTGTGGTCGTATATTGATATGACGTTGGTGTCGTCGTCGTTGTCCGAAGACACATTGGTTTTCGCACTCTAACTTTAGTTTAAGTAAATGGATCTCTATGAAATTTTACCATAAGGTTCAATACCACAAAAGGAAGGCGGGGATTGATTTTGGGGGTTATGGTACCTACAGTTAAGGAATTAGGGGCCAAAAAGGGTCCAAAAATAAGCATTTTTGTAACTTCCAGACATAACTTGTGTGTTAGTGTATGGATCTCTCTGACATTGTACCACAAGGTTCCATATCACAAAGGGAATGCTGGGATTAATTTTGGGGGTAATTGCCTCCAAATTTTAGGAATTAGGGGCCAAAAAGGGGCAAAAAACAAGCATTTTTCTAGTTTTATGACAATAACTTGTGTGTAAGTGTATGGATCTCTTTGACATTGTACCACAAGGTTCCATATCTCGAAGGGAATGCTGGGATTGATTTGGGGGTAACTGCCTCCAAATTTTAGGAATTAGGGGCCAAAAAGGGGCAAAAAACAAGCAATTTTCTAGTTTCATGACAATAACTTGTGTGTAAGTGTATGGATCTTTATGAAATTGTACTACAAGGTTCCATATCACAAAGGGAAAGCTAGGTTTGAGTTTGGGGGTAATTGCCATAAACGTTTAGGAATTTGGGGCCAAAAAGGGGCCAAAAAACAAGCATTTTTCTAGTTTCCAGACAATAACTTGTGTTCAAGTGTATGGATCTCTCTGAAATTGTACTGCAAGGTACCATACCACAAAGGGAAGGCTGGGATTGATTTTTGGGGTAATTCGCTCAAAATTTTAGGAATAAGGGGCCATAAAGGGGCAAAAAAACAAGCATTTTTCTAGTTTCAGGACAATAACTTGTGTGTAAGTGTATGGATCTTTATGAAATTGTACTGCAAGGTTCCATATCACAAAGGGAAAGCTAGGTTTGAGTTTGGGGGTAATTGCCCTAAACGTTTAGGAATTTGGGGCCAAAAAGGGGCCAAAAAACAAGCATTTTTCTAGTTTCCAGACAATAACTTGTGTTCAAGTGTATGGATCTCTCTGAAATTGTTCTGCAAGGTACCATACCACGAAGGGAAGGCTGGGATTGAGTTTGGGGGTGATGAATCATAAGGGTGTTCAAAAACTTTGGGGGGGATTTTTTTTTCGTTTTTTTCTTTAAAATTTTCCATTTTAAATTGGTTATTTCTGATTTATATTTAAAAGGAAATAATAATGATATGGTTTGAATAGGTAAATTAAATTTTTTTAAGTTCTTAGACCACATTCATTCTGTGTCAGAAACCTATGCTGTGTCAAATATTTAATTACAATCCAAATTCAGTGCTGTATCAAGCTTGATTGTTGTGTCCATACTTGCCCCAACTGTTCAGTGTTCGACCTCTGTGGTCGTATCAAGCTGCGCCCCAGCGGAGCATTTTATTTTCTCATAATTGAAGGTTGTACGGTTGCCTATAATTGCTTACATCCACTTCATTTGAACTTTGGTGAATAGTTGTCTCATTGGCAGTCATACCACATCTCCTTAATTTTATCTGTTTGTCTGTCAGGTATCATCTGTCCATGACCTCATTTCCATGGTTCATTGGTCAATAATAAGTTTTTGTAGTTTAGTCCTCTCCTCAGATAATTTTAGTAACAGGTCACCTATACCTTTTGTATGGAATGATTGTAAGGTGTACATGTCTGTCTGGCAGGGTTTATCTGACCTTGATCTCATTTTTATGGTTCATTAGTCAATGTTTAGTATTCATAGTTTGGTATGTTTCTTAGATAAGATAAGCAAAAAGTTAACTAAATTTGGTGGTATGGAATGATTGAAATGTGTATATGTCTGTCTGGCAGGATTTATCTGATCTTGACCTTATTGTCATGGATCGATTATAATATTAAGTTTATGTGATACTTGTAGTTAAGCAGCCAAGACACATCAAGCGTTTGCACACTTGTATTCAAGTATGTTTAAGAAATAATTCATGGAAGCCATAGATTTTTTGGAAATTTACACATGGCCTGGGCCGTGATATTCCAATTTATTCTGAGCATTAGCGAGGGATAAAATTAACGAATATCACGACTCTAATAGGACAAATACGGTCATTAAAAAACTGAAGCGAGGGTTGGTATGCCGTGTGTGTGGCTGTTCTATTTTACCCCCTGTTAGATAAATCTAAAACATTCAAATAAATCTGTAGCTCACATGAACTATGTCTAAAATACCCACTTGAAAAAAATGTGTAAACGTGCGAATAATGCAATAGAATAGAAAATAAAACAATACTTACCTTAAAACTCCATTTTAATGCAATATTATCTCCATTTGGAGGGTTTAAAGCAACAGAAAAACCTTCAGCTTTGGCGTTTTCATTCCTATGACGTCATATTTTGAAATGATTTTAATGCGCCAAAAATATTAATGGAATTTCGCAGAATTTTATTTTATTTAGATTTTGTACTTTTTTCCGAGCTCTAATGCATTAATTCATTTTGTTATGCCTCACAATAAGAATAAAGGTTCTGTAGTTTTTTGTTCAATTTCAATTTTCAACACAGCAAAATCTGCATAGCGTTTGCACATAGGTTACGATACATGTGGATTTACGTGGGAGGTATATTTTAACAGCCATTATTATGTACATCTCGGAGTCTGCGCTAAGTAAAGATATATCTAGAATTTTATCACGGTGTTGTTTACAAAGCGAAAGAAGCACGTCATTAGAATAATCATTAGTATTGTTGATTTGCTTGCTATTTGGGTCATTATTATTAAGTAGGCACTGGCTACGATTAAGTTGAAATGTAACAATAATAAAAAAAGTTATTGTTACTTTGGATACTAATTGCCAGAATGATTTGTTGGGTAAGGAACTGATTAATTACGAACTTAACAATAACATTTGTTTCTACGGTTGCGTTGTGTTATTGTTACGTTAGATTTATTAAACTTTTAATCAATAACTTGGTCAAACCTTCATGGAATTTTATGAAATTTGGACAAATGCTTGTTTATGACCAAAATACAGCATCCAGAGCAACATTTTGAAAATATTTACTTTCATTTTTGTGTATTTTACTGATAAATGGACTTTTTTTTACAGTTTACATTCAGATTCAGTCTTGAGGTTAAAGTTCTTCAGTTATCAATTACTTTGTCAAACTTTCATAGAATGTTATGAAACTTTGACAGAAGCTTTTTTATGATTAAGAGATAATGTCTGAAGCAAAGTTTTGAAAATATATTTTCATTTTCAGAAATGATATTTAAAGACAACATAAAACAACCTTGCATGTTTCCCGAACAAAAATTTTGGACTAAAATATAAACATTTCAAGAATAGAAAAATATTTTTAACCTGAAGCATGGCAGACATTGAAAGTTGCTATAACTTCACATTGCACATTGCTACATCACTCGTTTGTGATGGCTGCCTACCGTTGTTTCACCAAAAATGTGTCGGACTTAAACATGCTCCCAAAAGCACATACTGGATTTGTAGATGCTGCCATTGTAAATAAAATTGAAAAAAATGGATGCAATATTGTAGCATAGCAGTGTCTACGTATTAAAGTTTTCAAGTTGTATTTCAATTACTAGTCCCAGCATATATGAGGGTGTCGAGTGGAGGTTTACAGAATAGAGAATAATGGGTAAAAATATAAAGAATAGAGAAAAATGGACCAAAAAAATAAAGAATAGAGAATAATGGGCATAATGTATAAAGAATAGAGAAAAATGGCTTAAAAAATTAAAGAATACAGAAATGAATGAACCCCATCCAGACCCTCATATATTGAAGTGCATTAACATAACAGTAACACAATGTAACTGTAGACACAAATATTATTGTTAAGTTCATAATTAATCGGTTCCTAACCCAACCTCTGGCAGTTAGTGTCCAATGTAACAATAACTTTTTAGCTCACCTGGCCCGAAGGGCCAAGTGAGCTTTTCTCATCACTTGGCGTCCGTCCGGCGTCGTCCGGCGTCGGCGTTAACTTTTTACATTTTGAACTTCTTCTAGAGAACCACTGAATGGAATGAAACCAAACATGGCATGAATGTTCCTTATGAGGTACTGACCAAGTGTTGTTACTTTGCAGTCGGTCCATCATCCAAGATGGCCGACAGCAGGGGACTTAGTTTAACAAAGGACCTATGGGAAATACATACAAATGTCATCTTTTAGAGAACCACTGAATGGAATGAAACCAAACATGGCATGAATGTTCCTTATGAAGTGCTGAATAAGTGTTGCTACTTTGTTGCCGATTTACTGTTCAAGATGGCCACCAGGATATTTTATTAAATAACGGGACCAATATTAATCAAAATTTTGCCTCAATCATTATTTGGGTATCTGTTATGATTTTTATCTATCTTTACATGATTTCTAAAACCAAAGTAGAGTCAGGTGAGCGACACAGGCTCTTGAGAGCCTCTAGTTTTAATATTGTTATGTTTCAACGTAATCGTAGCCAGTGCCTATTAAGTAAGCTTACTGATACAATACCAGTATGATTTACAGCAGTGCTGATAAGCAAAAAATTAAAAGACAAAGGGAGCATTTTGATTGGTAACCTTTCCTCTTTGATGCCAATCTTAATTGACCAGATCACATGAATTCTGACTATCATAACAGTTGTTTATTGACTTTGAAATTTTTGCTTAGTTTACCTGTATTAGTTTGTGATTAGGTCAGTTTATGTGGAACCACTGGAGTTGTATTAGCATAGGTACATCTCATTTCCATGGAGATTATTTGGCCCCACCCCCTAAGTCATGGTCTATTGACTTTGAAACTTATGCTTAGTTTACATGTACATTGTAGTAGTTTGTGATTATGTCAGTTTATTGAGAACCCCTAGTGGTAGGTCAATAATATTTGGTATGAAGTTGTAAAAGTATTTGCACATCTCATTTCCATGGATATTATTTGGCCCCACCTCCTCAGTCATGGTCTATTGACTTTGAAACATTTGCTTAGTTTACATGTATTAGTTTGTGATTAGGTTTAAGGGGGATCATTTGTGATAGGTCAATGATATTTAGTATGCAGATGCATAATTATTGGCACATCTCATTTCCATGGAGATTATTTGGCTCTGCCTCCTCAGTCATGGTCTATGATTAGATCAGTTAGAGGAACCACTAATTTTAAGTCAATGATAGAATTAGCATTTGCAAGTCTTATTTTCCGTGCAGATTATTTTGCCATTGACTTTGAATGTTTTGCATAGATTACATGTTTAAATATATGGATTCAGTATTTGCAAAAAGGCGAGACATATCTCTGTGTCAACACTTTATTGTTTATATGCAGACTTGCATGTCAAGAGAGATTACTAAATTTTTCCTTGATCAAATGTTAAGGGTCCTGTTAGCAAACATCTTCTTTTTGGCGTGATTATAATTATGATTGATACTGGAGATTAAGCAAGCAACTATCATTCAATTTATTTGGCCTGATTATAATTATAATTGCTACTGGACGTTAAGCAAGCAACTATCATTCAATTTATTTGGCCTGATTATAATTATAATTGCTACTGGACATTAAGCAAGTAACTATCATTCAATTTATTTGGCCTGATTATAATTATAATTGCCACTGGACGTTAAGCAAGTAACTTTCACTCAATTTATTTGGCCTTATTGTACATCTATTTGTAATAGGTCAAACATTGAAATTAAACAAAAGAAATGGAACTCTTTATTAGAGAAGGTAAAAAAGGCCAAGTTGATAAATATGAATTGTTTACATTTGTTTCTATGGGCTTTAAAAAGTTTAATGAATGTGGATAATTTAGGATTTTATGCATCTTGTATTTGTGTTTTTACTTCAATTATGGTATGGAGCTTCGAGATATTTGTAAACTTTAAAATTATAGGCAAATTTTCACAAAATAGTCAAATACATGTGGATCTTTTTTGTGCATAAGCATACATTTCGCCGAAAAAAAATCCACAGAAAGATAATAGATTGATCTTTTTGAAGCATTAATTTGCTTCTCTGCCCAGGCGACAGTTTTTGGGAAAAAATCCAAAAAATGGGCAACAATTTCATCGAAAAGAAAAAGTCAAGTACACCTTTTTTCTGTTCAAGAGTGTTTGAATTGACTATTCTGTCTTGAAAACGTATAGTAGAAAAATATTTGATACTTCTTCTTGCTTCAGATTCTATTATTTTTATATATTTAGGCCATAGGTTGATATAATAACATTAAAAACTTACAGCACTAAAAAATGAAATATATGGGTCAAGTGAAATACCTTCATAACAACAGATCTAGAGTAGGTGTGTTGGAATAACACAAATTTTTACTAAAAGCACTTGATGACAGACTTTACAAATGGATCTTAAAAATGCATAACTTCAAAAAAAACTTCATTTTTTTTGTGTTAGTTATCTAGGGTAATTAGTCTTCAACATCTGAAAATTTTTTGTCTGCCCTTCCATGAAATATTTAATTTATTTTGAACTTTCGAAAATTCCCCCTGACAACTGATCAGACAATAGTTTTAAGTTGACTAAATGCACAAATGTACACTAAATGATGCTCAATAGCTAGTAGATACATTTGTCTTTTGAAATACAACTGGCATATAAGGATCGTAATGATGTTACGTGGATAAATTTATCGGTTTTCAAGAGCTAAGTGGACAGTGTGTCATCACTACAATGGCTTCCATTTTTACAATCATAAAAATTAGGTGGCGTAATGGGGAGATAATTTTAACAAAGTAGAATCATGACTGAAACAAGTTTGATAAACAGTATCTTTCTGTAGAAGTTTTAATGTCAGTATAAGATATGGAGTTGTGGTATGATTGCCAATGAGACAACTTTCCACCCAAGTTTAAAAGAAGTGGATGTAAGCAATTATAGGCAACCATACGGCCTTCAACAATGAGAAAAACCCATACCATATAGTCAGCTATAAAAGGCCCTGACATGAAAAATATGAAACAATTTAATTTAGAAAACTAACGGCCTAATTTATAACAAAACAATTTACTAAAAACAAATATGACAAATATGAACCAAGGACAACCACTGAACTACAGGCTCCTGACTTGGGACAGACACATAAAGAATGTTGCGGGGTTAAACATGTTTGTGAGCACTCAACAATTTATTTAATGTTGGTAAAATAAATTCACACAAATATGCTCATGCATCCTATTCTCTACTTTACTTACATTGATATTTTTTTCAAATATTTAATTCAATTATATAATTTACACAGTTAAAAATGCTAATGTATTTTTAGCATATACACCAGCGTGTTGGGAAGATTATTCATGGACATGTAGATGCCTATGACAAGGATGTTATATTTACTGCTTCATTCATTACACGCATGAAGGCACAAATCAGAGGAACATTCAGTGCCATAACCAGGTAAATAATGAATGATTTTGATAAGATAGATAAAAAAAAAATGGATTGAAGGAAAGCTGTATATAATTTACAGATAGTTGTGTTCCTATTATAATTTAAATTGGTCAATTATTAAAATTTTTCTATTAATTGATTACTGTGGATTAATTTCGTGGGTACCAATTTCACTGTGTCTAAACTACCCTGGCAAAAAATGTTTGGACTCAATAGTATCTAATATCCGGTACGGTGACGGACCATCAACATACAGAGATAAGGTAGGATTTCTGTTTATTTATTTGTTATTTTTATGATATTGAAGAATATAAATACACATATAACTATTTTCAAATGTGAGATGTCATATTTTCTACAACGTTCTAGATTAACAGAGAATTAAGTGAAAAATCATGTCAAAATGAAGATTTAAGTGAACCTTGCCTGGAATTTGTTTAATTTCTTGTTAAATTGTGCCCATTGTACGGAGAGAAAGGTACGGAAAGAAAGATATTAACATGGTGATTGCAAGACTTGTGCACCTCAATATTTGTATTTATGTGCATGGAACTAAAGAAATGGGTCATGTCAAAATTGAAGGACTCAGTTTTGTCAATGTTATTTACTACATAAGGACCCCATTTTGTCTATGTATAGGACCCAGTTTTATTTCGTTTTGAAACCACAAATTTATGAAAAGCAACGTTAACATAGAGCTTAACATTTTCCATTGAAAGAAATTAAATATATATGTTATTGTAAAACAAACCTGTCGTGTTAAAATTTATTTTAAACAGGAACTTTTTGAAATGGAGTGTACCTATTTTTTTAATGCTATACATATACCTTATTGCACTTATCTTATTTATAGCATGCACTTAAATTAAATCTTTTATAACATTATGATGCGTGTTTGTTTACTATACTAGTATGTAAGGATGTAAAAATAAGAAGATGTGGTATGATTGTGTCACCATATCAATTTATCAAAAGATGCTTTACTATACAATGCTATGTTTACAATATTTACTTGTTCATTCATTCATTAATTCATTGACGGACAGTCAGAAAAAGACTTTAATCTATACTATTCTGCTTCTGCACGAATTAGGCATGCATGCAACTCCTCGAAATTACAGGCTCCTGGATTTGGGACCGGCACATACAGAATGGAGGGGTTAAACGTGTTGGTGCCAACCCTCAACCCCCCTCCAAACAGTGGTGTAGCAGCATAACATAAGAACAAACTATAAAAATTAGTTAAAAAGGGCCTAACTTCATTGAACTAATCCAATTACAGATCCTGTATAGTAAATGCATGATTGGTGCTTAAAGTTATATCTTTGTTATGATTATCTCTTACTATAATATATACATGTATGTAAGGTAAGAAAGTTTGGATTTCGATGATTGAATTTTTTGTGATGGGGGCAAGCCTTCTTTATTGGCCAAAAAAGATTATTATATCATGTCTTTCACGATTTATATATGATTTTTATACGAAAAATTTTCCGGTCGTATATTGGTATGACGTTGGTGTCTTCATCGTCCAGCGTAGTCGTCGTCGTCGTCCGAAGACACATTGGTTTTTTCACTCTAACTTTAGTTTAAGTGAATGGATCTCTATGAAATTTTACCATAAGGTTCAATACCACAAAAGGAAGGTGGGGATTGATTTTGGGGGTTATGGTACCAACAGTTAAGGAATTAGGGGCCTAAAAGGGGCCAAAAATAAGCATTTTTGTAACTTCCAGACATAAGTTGTGTGTTAGTGTATGGATCTCTCTGACATTGTACCCCAAGGTTCCTTATCACAAAGGGAATGCTGGGATTGATTTTGGGGGTAATTGCCTCCAAATTTTAGGAATTAGGGGCCAAAAAGGGGCTAAAAACAAGCAGTTTTCTAGTTTCATGACAATAACTTGTGTGTAAGTGTATGGATCTCTCTGACATAGTACCACAAGGTTCCATATCACAAAGGGAATGCTGGGATTGATTTTGGGGGTAATTGCCTCCAAATTTTAGGAATTAGGGGCCAAAAAGGGGCAAAAAAACAAGCATTTTTCTAGTTTCAGGACAATAACTTGTGTGTAAGTGTATGGATCTTTATGAAATTGTACTACAAGGTTCCATATCACAAAGGGAAAGCTGGAATTGAGTTTGGGGGTAATTGCCCAAAAAGTTTAGGAATAAGGGGCCAAAAAGGGGCCAAAAATAAGCATTTTTCTAGTTTCCGGACAATAACTTGTGTTCAACTTCAAGTGTATGGATCTCTCTGAAATTGTACTGCAAGGTACCATACCACAAAGGGAAGGCTGGGATTGATTTTGGGGGTAATTCCCACAAAATTTTAGTAATTAGAGGCCATAAAAGGGCAAAAAAAACAAGCATTTTTCTAGTTTCAGGACAATAACTTGTGTGTAAGTGTATGGATCTTTATGAAATTGTACTGCAAGGTTCCATATCACAAAGGGAAAGCTGGGTTTGAGTTTGGGGGTAATTGCCCTAAACGTTTAGTAATTAGGGGCCAAAAAGGGCAAAAAAACAAGCATTTTTATACGCCCGTTTACAGGACGTATTATGGTATACCGTTGTCGGTCTGTCCGTCCGTCTGTCCGTCCGTCTGTCTGTCCGTCGTCAACATGTCGGACATTTACTCAAAAATCTTTAACCAATTTGCATAAAACTTTGGTGAATTGTTTATATCTATTGACATGAGCTCCCTTTAATTTTTTATAAAATTTAGATTTTACGTTTCCGAGTTATGGGGTTTTATTCATTAAAAAAAGGGGGATTTTCCAGTTTTCAGACAATAAGTCAAGAATGCTTTCACCAACTTGCAAGAAATTGTGGTGAATTGTTTATATATCTATTGACATGAGCTCCCTTTTGATTTTTATAAATTTTAAATTTTAAGTTTCCGAGTTACAGGGTTTTATTCATAAAAAAAGGGGGGATTTTCCAGTTTTCGGACAAAAACTCTAAAATGCTTTCAGCAATTCTTATGAAACTTTGGTGAATTGTTTGTATGTATTGATGTAAGCTCTCTTTAGAATTTTATAAATTTTACATTTTACATTTCTGAGTTATGGGGTTTTATTCATTAAAAAAAGGGGTGATTTTACAGTTTTCGAACAATTACTCAAAAATGCTGTCACCAATTCTCATTAAACTTTGGTGAATTGTTTATATCTATTGTTGTAAGCTCCCTTTTTATTTTCATAAATTTCTAATATGACATTGAGAATTAATTGAACTTTATTTGTTTATAGTCTGACAACAGGTTTACTAAGTATTGCACAACAGCAAGAAATCTTTAATTGCATATTCAATTCATATAACCAATTTCAAGATCTTTGACTACATTTATTCAGAAACCTATAATATGTCAAATATTTAATTACAATCCAAATTCAGACCTGAAACAAGCTTGAATATTGTGTCCATTTTTGCCCCAACTGTTCAGGGTTGGACCTCTGCGGGCGTATCTAGCTGCGCTCAGCGAAGCAGTTTATTCAAGTTTCCAGACAATAACTTGTGTTCAAGTGTATGGATCTCTCTGAAATTGTACTGCAAGGTACCATACCACAAAGGGAAAGCTGGGATTGAGTTTGGGGGTGATGAATCATAAGGGTTTGAATAGGTAAATTAAAAATTTTTAAGTTCTTAGACCACATTCATTCTGTGTCAGAAACCTATGCTGTGTCAAATATTTAATTACAATCCAAATTCAGTGCTGTATCAAGCTTGAATGTTGTGTCCATACTTGCCCCAACTGTTCAGGGTTCGACCTCTGCTGTCGTATCAAGCTGCGCCCCAGCGGAGCATTTTATTTAGCATAAAATCGTCCAAAAATGTTTCCCCTCGCTATGCTCGGCTCCTTGATCCGCCATTGGATATTGACAATTATAAACTTGACCAATGTCACATTTGTCAATGTACAATAATCATTACACAATGGAGAGATAAAAGAACAGTTTATTTATAAAATTATTAATAAAATAATCATTATTGCATTTTCTGGATGGCCTGAGACTATGATACTAATTTATAATCGTTACAAGGAGGGTTAAACAGATTTTTAATGCATGATTATTGTGATCCTTTTTGCCGCATGAACTAGCTGTCAGTAACGGTGAGTACTCTAAGATCTGTACTTAGTGTCTTTTTGTTGTGGGGATGTATAAGTACCCTGCCATGTCCACTCTGTGTTTTTGTTAGATGTATTTCTGCTTTGTATCCATCTGATGAGTTAAGCCCTTTTCAACTGATTTTGGAAAGATTGGAACAATAGTTCCAAGTCTTTCCTAAGGCACCAGCCTTACTTACTAAGAAGTAGCTCAGGTTATCTACTAAATCTACAAAATGATACACTCTTAAATATAGCTCCCTATGGTTCTCATGTCTGTGTACATATGCACATATGAACTGTGAAAAATTTGGGTTATATTTTTATAGCTGTTCTTTTAAGTATGTATGTCTTTAAGGTTTGTCAATGTGCAGGCTATTTTTGTCATTTTGATTAGGTAAGAGTAATGATACAATACCTGTATGATTGACACCCATGACAATCAGAGAAAATTACAAGGCCCCACCTCCTTAAATGCTTATTAGATTGACCACATTTCTGATCAACATCTGACAGTCTGTACATAAATTAGGCGTTAGTTTTCTCGTTTGAATTGTTTTACATTTGTCATTTTGGGGCCTTTTTTAGCTGACTATACGGTATGGGCTTTGCTCATTGTTGAAGGCTGTAAGTGACCTATAGTTGTTAATTTCTGTGTCATTTGGTCTCTTGTTGAGAGTTGTCTCATTGGCAATCATACCACATCTTCTTTTTTATATTTACATAATTAAATAGACTTTTCATTATACATCTCAATACACAAATACTTGACCTCATAATTGAATACACAAATGTGTATATATTAGATGTTTATTGTTTTCTGTTTTGTATTAAATTAATAATTAAGATCCATTTTGTTACATCTGGTGATCTGTTTATTTGGCAATCGCCATGG